TGTCACATCAAGGACATTTATAATAGTGTTCAGAGAAAGCACACTCACACTCTATTTACAATAAAAAAAAAAAATAATAATAATACAGAAACTTAATAATAATAAATACAATAAAATAAAATAAAAATAAATACAATAAAATAAAATAAATGTATATAAACAAAAGAACCAACCTAATCATACACACTCGGGCTTGAGTGGAGGATCTGGCCATTGCCAAAACTCCAATAGATGCTTATTTACAAAAGGTCTCTGGGCCACTGCCGCCTCAACCTTCGAGGAGGATTGTAAGGATGGGTGGTGCTGGATAGAGATTGTGCAAGGGGATTTGGATGATAGGTAAGGTTCTGGTGAAATTTGGAGAATTTTTCTGGAATAAGGTCTAGGACAAATGGGATATTAAGGTCATGGTGTAGGATTTTGTTATTTACATAGAACGGAGCATCAACTATTGTTCGAAGGACTTTAGATTGAAAGGATTGAATACGTTTGATGTTAGAAGCTTTTGCTGTCCCCAAAATTTCTTTAAGCTTAAGGAAATTTCTTTGGAATTTTATGAGTAACAATATGAATTATGATAATATTGCATTTTTCTTGAGGTTTTCTTATAGAACCACTTCCCAGCTAGAAAACTAGCTAATAAAATCAAAGAAATAATCATCTGAAGTAAAAAAAAAGATAATTAATAGAAAAGTTTTGTTTCACCTATAGCTGACACTGTTGGAGTTGGGATGTTGACAGAGATGTATGCAAGGGAGTAATCATGTAAAATAATTTGTTAAAACATTATATTCCCATTTAATTTATAATAGATATTAAACTTATTATAACACTTAATTTTCATTCTTTTTGTGAAATTGTATCTAACTCAATTTAAAAAAAAAAAGTCGGATAACTATAAAGTAGTTAGGAACTTTTACTTAAAGTTAAGGAATAATAATAGATTAATAATATTTAATAATAGATATTAAACTTATTAAAACACTTAGATTTCATTCTTTTTACGAAATTGTATCTAACTCAATTTAAAAAAAGTCGGATAACTATAAAGTAGTTAGGAACTTTTACTTTACGTTAAGAAAAGCTAAGTATTAGTTTAATTGGATAGAAATACACATTAGGCACCTTTGACTAACTAGTAATAAACTGAATGGTATAATGAGATAAACCATTTTATCACAATAAAAAAATTAGCATGGTTCTGAGATAAGAATCAGAGGAAGTGGGTGGACTTTGTTCTTTTATTATCCAGGAGTGAAAAACATTGGTAAAGTATATGCATTAATTGATGCATTCATCCATCTACTGTGTTGTCACCTTACAGGGCATATGTTTCGAGTGTGCTAAATACAATATCTAAAGATATCCTTTTATGTTTTAAGATAATAGAAGATGGAGTTAATACACCTGAATCACTAGTCATTTCTTTTCGTCTGGGTTTACTGTTTTGTAAACATTCTTATTTCTCTTTTTAGGCAAAACTTGGTTTCTCTTAGGGTTAACAAAAAATGCACTTTCATCTGCTTTAAAAATTCAATGTGTACTGTCCATGATATGTTAAAATCTTTTTTCTTCATGGTGCGTTTGAATATCATAGTTTCAAATTTACCAGTCACAGAAGCTCGGGGTGAAGTAAGATAAAAACCTTAAGGGGAGTCTTAAAGCATAACGCCAGATTCCGTTTAATGAAAAGATTGGACCATTTATGATCAGGGCGGTCATCTTTAAAGTGATTTTCCCGACATTTTGCAGCAGATGATGGGCACTGTCAATAATCTGATTTTAGGAACAGAATAACCTATTTGTGCCATGTACTTAATCTACATAACTTATAAATTTTCTTCTACACCAGGATTTTGGATGGGCCCATTTTATGATGAATCAGGTAGTTTCCTCTGACTTTATGAGAAAATGTTATACCCAGGATTACATTTTTATGTAACTCCAATGACGGTGCCGCGGTTGAGAGAGAAGCGCTGGGATCTCCTAGAGTCTCCCTTTGTCCTTCACACGTAGAGGAAGGGGCTGGACTCGGAGCTCCCTTGGCTGATTGTAAATATTGTAATTAAGTATGAATGTTTTTCTTTTTTATATATTTCTTTGTTTTACTTATGACTTATTTAATTTGCTACCAATTTCTGTATTTTTTTTTTTTTTTTTAGTTTGATTTCAATTTACATTTCTTTGGTTTTATAGTTTTTGCCTTTGTTATGTAGATATACATTTTTATTTTTTATTTTTATTGTATTGTATATATAGTATGAATGGACCTCACTCAGCTTTAGTACTCAGTGCCCTTAAATGTGGCAAAATGTATTATTTCTCCATAAAAAGATTTAAAAAAAAAAAAAAGGCAGCCGCTATTTACATTCCCCTGAGAACATTGTCAAGGGCTTTTTCCATGTCTTCCTGAGCATATTTTAATTTTCTTTTTATATTGAAGCCATAGAAAATAAGCTTGAAGGAAGAAAAAAAAAGAAATCAAATGTTGTTCCAATAGCTGACATATACTGTTGTTCCATTACTTGACACCCCTGTCAGCTATTGGAATATATAATCTATATTTAAAATAGTGTTCAGTGATAAGCTTGTATAACGAATTTGAACAGAATTATTTTAACTATCTGTTTTTTTTTTCTTTATGGATTTCATCAACATACGTATTTTCTCCTTTATTTAATGAACATATGTATTTTCTGCTAATCTATCAATGGGAATAGGAGTGTAAATTTAATTTTTTATTACGTGTTTTATCAGTTTGTATTGGAGGCAAACGAGCCATAAGATCTTATTTTATATAAGTATTTTATTATTTTACGTTGTGAAAAAGCGAGGATACGACCTAGTCTAAAATTATCGAATGCCAACTACGGCGTCAATGCTCGGCTACTTTCGGGAATCTGACAATTAAGTGCTTGGTTGATCTTGAAACCCGACGCCACATTGAAGCAGATAAGGGGGACTACATAGCACCTACAAACTTGTTATGTGTATATATATACTTGGCGATTTATTATGGCTACTTTTCCTTCATCTGTAGAATTTAAAATCATCTCCAAAACATTGTTGAAAAAGTGAAATATAACTAAAACCTTATGGACAGCAATGTTACATAAATTTTGAAAATGAACCGAAAAGTTCAAAATATAATCACAAGATAAGAAATCTTAAATATTTACAGCCAGGCTGTCACACATGAGAAAAGCTAAGTATTTAGAACGGTGCTCATCTAAATAATTACCGATAAAAAAAAATAAATAAGAGATAGCTAGTTTCAAAATTTCTGATTACGTCTTTATAAACTCGAACTGTGTATATGTATACACAGGCAGATCTACCGGCATGGTGAGTTGGGGGTTTTCGGGCTGAACTCCCCTCTCTCCCCCAAATGGTAAAATGTAACCCTGTTTAATGGAAACGAATATTAAAAAATATCTTTTGAAGTATTATTGTTCGTATAATTTCATTTAATAGGACTCCAAGTATCACTTAAACACTATTTCATATAAGTGGTTAGTTTCTTTCCTTTTATTCCAAAGTAATTATCGTTATTTAAATATTAAAAAAACCTATCGCCCCCCCAAAATTAAATCCTGGGTCCGCTAGTGTATGTATATACATATACAACGATAATTACTAAGGAAGAAAAAGAAAGAAACTAACTACTTATATGGAATGGAGTTCGAGTGATTCTAGAATATTAAATGTAATTAAACGAACAATAATACTTTTAGAGTAAATAATAATCTGGGAAATAAGAAACACTTAGTCAATCAAAATGAAAACAATCATTCAATGGAATTATAACAGATTTTTCCGACGTTTAGAGCATCTAAAAATGACAATAAGCGAAGAGAACCCTATTCTAGTTTGTCTCCAAGAAACACACTTACAAGAAACTCAAACAGTGAGATACAAAGATTAGGATATATACCGAAAAGCAAAAGATCGTCATGGGAAGACTTCGTATCTTCATTAAATCAAAGCATTTCAATGAAGGAGCTCTGGAATAAAGTGAAAAGCATTAAGGGGATCTCCAAAACAAAGAAATTGCCTAGTATAAAGAGTGGACAAGACATTATAACTGACCCTGACGAAATCGTTAACGAAAGTGATAAAACTCTGCAACAGAGTGTAATTTAAAGGCGTTGCCAATGACCCTACAGGGTAGAGGCAACAAAATACCAAATAAATAAATAAAATACTTTTAGAGATAACATTTTTCATAAGAATTGTTATATTTTACCATGTTGAGAGGGCTCAGCCCGAAAGCCCCTTCCCCGTAGACCTCTCTCTGTCTTGTACAGAAGTCCTTTCTTGTAACCACGGGCGGATCTCCGGGGGGGGGACTTTTGGGCTGAAGCCTCCCCCAAAATGGTAAAATATAACCATGTTTTATCGAAAAAAAATTTAAAAAGTATCTCTTAAAGTATTATTGTTCGTGTAATTACATTTAAAAAGGCTTTAGGAATCACTTAAACACCATTTCATACAGGTAGTTAGTTTCTTTCTTTTTTTCCAAAGTAATTATCGTTATTTTTATGAAAAAAAAAACTTTCGGGCAGAAGCCCACCCCCCCCAAAAAAAATCAAATCCTGGGTCCGCTAGTGCTGGGAACTGAAATGGCACCTATCAGTTTTGTAGGGTGCTGCTCGCGATCGCTTGCAAGAAACAGCCTTCTAAAGTTGAGTGTAATTAATTGAATTTTTTACGGATGGAATATTAGGTTGTAAAACATTGTAACTAGCAAAATGAAAACCTTTATAATTTTAAAATACTTTTTAGTTACAATGCTTTACCTTCAACCAGCAGTTCCTCATCATTAATTCCAACATATTTAAAGAAACAAATATTACTACAGATTTTATCAACCATGAAATCAGTGGTAAAGAATCCGTTGTTGCTAAAAACATCAATTAAAAAAATGTTAATTACCATGTTTAAGTACTAAGTGTTTGGGATGTTTTGTTGTATGACCTCATGGCAGTGGCAAAAGAAGAGGGAAAGCAAAATACCACGCTCAAGTTGTTGATGACCATTGTAAACAAGAAAGTTATGTTGGAGTCTGAGGAAATGAAATTGAAGATAATAGAAGCAGCAATGTCTAATCTTCAACCACCTTCAGGCAGAATTTTTTTAAACCGAATTTCGAATAATATGCCTGAATTTGTAAGAAATAATAAGATGTATTTTACTTCTTTATATAAACAATTGGGAAAAACAAAACCACTTACAAAAAAGAAAAGAACCAATTTTAAAATTCCCCGAACATACTTTGACTTTCTTATGTGTGAAGATGAACAGTTTCAAGAAATAATTCATGTTACAAGAAAGACTTCCAAGATCCTTATTGAGCGTATGAGAGGTATTTCTGTAGATATGAACTGTAATTTAGAACTTAATGGATTATCACAAAATAATGAGTCAATTGACAAGATGTTATTTCTACTATTGTGGTATTTAAGAAATGAAGATGCAAAAATGGATGATGCCGTTGGTATGTTTGAACTAGGTACCATTGAAAATGCTAATAAGTTATTTAATCAGGGGCTTGTCTATATTTTGAAATTGAAAAGTGACGCTGGACTTCTTTGGCCGACTGCTAAAGAGTTTACTCGTTCAGCATCATGCATCCGGAGAAGATTTTATTTTCCTGATGTTGCCGCAGTGATGGGTCATCATATCTTTAGACGGAAAAATGGTCAGAGATTGATGCTACAAACAGTTTGTAACGAAAAACATATGTTTGTTGATACATGTATCTCATTCGATACTAGATCTAGAGTAGTATTCAAACAAAGTGTAGTCAAGAATAAGATTCAAGATCTTAATAATGGGTTAGTTATTATTTCTGAAGATTTCAATGTTCCTAAAAAATACAAGAAGAATATAATAGTGCCTTATAACGATGGGTCGGATGTAACACTCTCTCAGAAGCAACTTTATAATATTATGCATGAATCTGTAATAGGTATATTGACAGAAACATTTGATTACTTGCTTAAAAGATTTCCGAAACTGAAATCTCTTGACAGGTATGAACCAGACATAGTTATTGCTGCTTGTGTGCTGCATAATTACTGTATCAAGTTAAATGATTTAACACCTTTATAAGTACTATTGTTACTTTACTGGACGTTATCATATAAAAGTTTTTATTGTGAGATTAAAATATTTAATATTAAAGTAGTATGTATGATGAGTTTATTAATTATATAATTACTGTGATGTTTAAATAAGTATTATCTTTCTATATATATATATATTTTTTAATCAACTTTAGTTTATTTTTAAATTGTATAATTAACTATTTTTATCAATTTTCATTGATAGCTTTTCTATAAATTTCTATTGGCTGTTTATAACTCATACTTAAAATACATTTTTTTTTTCACAAGTTACTTTATAAGTTTATAAGTATGGATGCGTTAATTTTTTTGTTTTAATTGTATTGGCAAGAAATTATTTTACATCTTTCTTAAGGGAACTGTAAACAGAACCCATTTTTCCACTGTTTTCAAGGGGTATGTGTAATAAAATGTAAAACTTAAAGTTATTTTCATTCAAAACCCCCAAAAAATATTTCATTTAAAAATATCTGAATAGTGTAGGAACCCATTATCTTTCTCTGTAAGGATCAAGATATTGCCAAGCAATAGAAGAGGGTAATCCAGATGTCATATAGTTATATATTAACAATTTATGACATAAAATTAGACCAATTTAATAGAACATTAAATAATAATTATTTTAGATAAATCATTTACTGAGTTTGTCTATTAACAATCATTCAGTTTTTAATAATATTCAGTCAGTTTTATTTTGTACTAAACTATCGGTAATGGTGGGAGGAACTAGTCCGTTGAGTAGACCTTGTGGTTCTTTTCGCAACCCTGACATCTACCTTAGCGTTACCACCGATACCAGACTGAGAGTTTCAAGATTCATATTCTAGGAGAATTCATGACCACCGAGAAACAAATAATAATCGACCCAGATGGGAATCAAACCTACAATGTTCAGAACTGTGTACTCTGCGTCCCATGCCCAAACGTTGGCTTGGCCGTCATGTCCTCTTTACTGAACCAATTGTAAAATAAATTTAAAGACTATTCTAAGAGCTATTAGGATTATCAAAAAACTTGAGAAACTTAAATCCTTTTTTTTTTTTACATAATAAAATAGTACTATATTTACTATTCATTACAATTTTAATCTTCATTAGTTAGTTACCAAATTAATCAACTTTCATTTGTCATTCTGTTAATTTCACAGGCGAATCTTTACTCTAGGCAAAACAATTCCTCATTTGTATGTTAGTGACCTTTTATTCAATTTGAATAATTTAGTTCTGATGATTGCCTAAATATTGAAACTACTACTTATTCAACTCTGTTAATATTTTATTTAATATATTTGTTTTACTGTCGGTTAAATCGGAAAGCTAATTATGTGAGATTCTACTGCATTAACATAATTGACCTCTTGGCTTCTGACCTCAATTATTATATTACAATTTAGATCATAATTAATTTTTTTATTTAGCTTTTTCTTCCTAATAATTTAACACTATGAAAAATCCATAATTTAATATGCAGCTATTTCTTAGCATGCTTCGATTTTTATTTTATTTATTTATTTATACATTCAAGAGGAATATACCAAATTGCATTCTTCTACCCACAATCATTCAATTCGCTCATTCTATCATTTTATTCTTCCTGTTCGTGGTTGATGCAAACTAAAAGTGGCCCAGAGATTTGCTTCATACAAAACTAATCGAGATCATTATCAAGTAAATTGAAGAAACCAAACATTGACATTAGATTTTCTAGATACACTAAATCGCAGTTAAAAATGATGTAAAAGAATAAAAAACTTATTACTAAGATAAAAGAATTACCATATTCAAATTCAGTTTCTAGTGGATAAATACTTTATCGTTCGTAATACCCGACTTTTTGTACATATTGCCACCTTATCACACTTTTGTTTAGTATCTTATTTAACCTATCAGTATTAACTACAGCCCATCACAATCTTAACCGGCTCCTTCATTGACGTAAGAGCATTTTGTATCGCTTTTGAAGGTTAAGTTAAATTTACAGAGAAATACAGATCCAATAGATAGTAGTAAAAAGTAAGGAAGTTAAATAATTCATATACATATGAAACTCTATAAAACAGACCGGGAAAGTAATAAAATAATTTGGAAAAGAAAAATAACATTAAGTTTTAAAATATAAATTAAAAATGGATATATTCTATCCACAGCATGACATGACTGTATGTCAATACATATTCACACACTTGTAGATGATCTAACTGTTAGATTCTGAAATATTTAGATCAAATGGAGTAGATTAATGATTAGGAAGGTAAAGAAATATGTTATATTTAAAGGTATAAAGCATAAAACCTTTCTCTTCCACATACATGTTAATTTATTCTGTCCAACGTTTTAGACTCTTGTCCATCCTTCAGATACATTACTGTTCACTGTTTTCCCTTTATTTCCTGGATGTTATTACCATTTGTCTTTTTTTATTCTATATAACAGTTTTTTCTACACTTAGTTTTCATTATCCCACGGTGGTTACTTTTCATTTAAGTCTGGTTAAATAACCAGCATGTGATAATGAAAACTGACTAAGTGTAGAAAAAACTGGTAAATAGAATATATAAAGAAATATGTTAATAACATGCAGGGAATAAAGGAAAAACATTGAAAAGTGAATAGTAATGTCTCCGAAGATGGACAAAGAGCCCAAAACGTACAGAATAAATTGACATATACATGAAAGAGAAAAGTTTCATGCTTTATACCTAAACTAACATAAAACTCTTGCTTAAATAAATTATAAACATTAAATAATATAAGAGGTTAAAGAAAGTAATTTTGATATCTACTGACAGATATGGGTAAGGATTTCCAAATGAAAGTAGCACAAATAATTAAGGATTTACTAAAGACAAGAGTTGTATGACAGAGGGACTACAAATTATATTTATAATTATGTTTACAGAAAAAACATTAATTGGCTCTATAGTTTTAATAAACACAACCACTAACATAAATATTTATTTATACTGCTTGAAAAATCCTGACTCAAGCTTCCATCTCCCAATGTTGGTAGATTAAAGTCTGATTTCAGCAAATATTAGGGCTTTTATCCTAACCTTATCTCGGATATTGAAACAGCTTCAGTGAAAACTCTTAAGCAGCTGAGATATCAAAGTCTCAATTATTGAAAGCCATTGGGTGAGTGGTATTGTATTGAGCCTAAATTAGAGGACCAAAATGGATAAAATATGGTGCAGATGAAATTTTGAGAAAAAAAGGTCTGCTATAAATGGTATATTGCTTTTTAATTTTATAATTATTTACTTTGAACCAGTATAAAGTAAAATTTATTTTAAATAATAGGCAACGAATGATTTATTTATTTTTTCAAATAATTAATAATTCTTTTATATTTTATCATAAATAATTTATAATCTGAAGTTATCTATTATTATTTTTATTCATTATTGGAGTTTTGGGAATTAAAAGTTTGAATTTTGAACATCAAACAGTTCAGAAGTAGGCAAAAAGAAAAAAATAGTGTGAAAAGTTTCTAAATTTTAATTTGCTTTTATTTTGTGAATGAGTGATCAATATGTCATGGTTGAAATTGTTTTCTGACTGTATCGAGTTAGCTTAAAAGAAAATTTTTTCCAAATTTAAAGATTTTTTCTCTAAACAATGGGAAAATTGTTTGTGAAAAACTATTTCACATTTACAAGAAAAAAAGAGGAAAATAAAAATGAAAATTTGAACAATTTTCACTGTCTTATTTCTTTTAGTCAATCTCTCAACAGTGTGAAAATTGTTATAGCGTTGAAAAACCGTATAACAATTAACAAGATAAAAGCGGAAAAGCAAATGATAATCCAGAAAATGTGTAAAATTTTTAGCTTCTATGCTACTCAGTCAGAAAAGAATTTGACCTGTGAAAAATTGATTTCTCATTCACCAGATAAAAGAGAAAAAGTGGATGAAAATTCGAAATTCATTTGTAAGTGGAAGTGATTAAAATTATTAATTTTACTAAAATGAAATTTTTATCTTACATAATGAATAGTAGATAATAGATGATTCAGATTATAATAATAATAATGCTTTATTTATTCTGAGACTAAGTCCCTTTAGTATAATGTAGAGAGATAGAAATGTGGGCTTTGGAGCCTCGGAGAATAATTACAAAATAAACAGATTTATATAATGAATAAATAAAATAAAAGAATATTATTTACCTTCAATCTTCAATTAAGAGAAAAAAAAGTATTTAAAACAAACTAATTATTTATATACATATTTACAATTTTATGAGAACTGAACGGATAAGAGGTGATTGGACAGGCGGATTCAAAGGTGGGGAGTGTACTGGAGCGACGGATGTAGGATGGGATAGAATTCCATAGGGATGTGGATCAAATAAGGAAAGATCTATCAAAAGCAGCGGTTCGGTAGGATCTTGTATACAAATCTGAAGACGGAATGGTTTTTGCAGGAGTGGGCTGAGGATTTGAATTGAAGGAACCCGGAGATGTATGAAGGATGGCGGGATTGGATGACTTGGAAGAGGAAGGATGCTAGGAATTATTTACGTCGGTAGGGAGTATAAAGCCATTTCAGCTCTTCATAATAATAGGAAACAGATGCATCCCTTGGGATCCCGAAGATGAATCGTACAAGACAGTTTATCAAATGTTTTAGTTTTGACTCGAGACGCTCCCATATACTGTACAGTTGAAGTGAGGAAATATTAAGGAAGTAGTCAGGAGTTTACGGGTTTCAAATGGAAATAGGTGGCGGAGGTAAATTAGTCGTTTTAAAGTGGAAAAGGCACGATGGGAAATATCGGATACGGTTTTTCCAGGAAAGGGTTTGATCAAAGGTTATTCCAAGGTTTTTATTGGTGGGATAGAATCGGATGGGATTATCATGTAGGAACGGGGTTGGCATGTTAGGAAGAGTTTTAAGGAGGGGACTGGAGCCTATTAAAATTCCCTTATAGATTATCTGTAAATAATTAATAAATCATCTGTTAAAAGCCTTCAAATAATGGATAAAAATGTATCTATTATTTATTGTATAGATAAAAATGTATTCGTTTAATGCCCAACACTGCAATGGAGTTATCAAATAATTAATTATATAATGGAAATTAGTAGTAATAATCAACATATTTTTAGTTGTTTTTTTTTACTTGGTTTATAGGGATTTCACATTGAAGGAAAGTTTCTGGTTTGCAGTGACTTCTTTTACACCACAGGGTGGAGGTGAAGCCCCTAAGTCCCTTTCTGCAAGGACTCTTGTAGCTGCCTATTGGCTTTTTGTGGTTCTTATGCTAGCGACATTTACGGCTAATCTAGCAGCTTTTCTAACTGTAGAACGGATGCAAGTAGGTTTACTATTCAATCGCTTAAATAAGTATATAATCCTTTAAATAAATATATAAAGCTTTAGTAACAATCAATATTACTTCATTTTATTCATTTCTAATCTTTTTCTAAATTTGAACAATTATTCAGAAAGAAATAAACAAAGTACACTATGGCTTCTAATGGTTGCTTAATAAATGATTCTGACACACTTAGAAAAAAAAATTCTGCAAAATTTTGTTGAATTTTTTATTAAAATATTTTTAGATAAAATAAATGAATATCATTAAATATATCATAACTAATAATTATGCAATATTGTTTGTTAATATTTTCATGAAATTATTTATAATAATTCTTGAATGAATATTTTACAGTCTCCAGTACAATCCTTAAAGCACTTGGCCCGACAGTCAAGAATTAACTACACAGTTGTCAAAAATTCAGATGCCCATAACTATTTTAGAAATATGAAATTTGCTGAGGAAACACTATACAAGTAATAAACTTTATTTAATTTTTTTTTTCCACAGTAAAAATAATTGTTAATTAAACACTATTAAAAATCATTATTGATGTCATCACAGTCATGTTAGAAATTGAAAAATTATTATAAGTCAATTATCTAAGATAAACTTAAAGAAAACAATGCTATTTCAAAATGTAGAAAAAAATTGTTAAAAGTTTGAAAGACCGCATTGTTATAACTAATTTCCAAGAGCTCATACCAAACTGAAATGAAAAGAAACCGCTCGATGTTTCCGATTACTTTAGCACTTACTAGACAAATCCTCTAAACTTCCAATTAATTGCAAAAGACTCATATACATGACTATAATAAGGCCTATTTGAACTTGCGGAGTTGAGCTATGGGGAGGGAGGGCTCTACTAAACCATCGAATTCCTCTATTATCCAATCCTTACAATCCAAAATCCTTCGTAAAATTCTCAATGCTCCCTACTTTGTTACAAATAAAACCATCCATAATTAATATTTCTTATGTTTCAGATCTGGTCAATCCAAATACCTATCCTTCCATAATAAACTTCAGAATCATCCCAACCCTTTCGTTTCTAATCTTGGTTCCTCTTCAATTCCTTATAACCCTCCGAGACGTCTGAAAACAAGATGGCCCCGTGATCTCCTAATGTAGACTTATTATTATAGTTCTACCGTTGGGTAGTTTCTCAACAAGTGTTTTCACGTCATTAGATCCATATGTTCAAATTTACTAAATGTATTTCTTTAATACAGTTGTAAATATCATTAAGAAATAAGAAAAAAAATTAAAAAATCCAAGATCTACAATTTTTATATAACACAATATTAAGAGATCTTTACAAAATTCTACAAATGTCGTATGATCATTTCTAATTTATTATTATTATTACAATGGTGCTATAGTCCTACAAGAACCTGGGCCTCCTTCACTACAGCCAACCTATCTGCACGGTCCTGTGCTATCTCCCTCTATCTTTTAACACCCAGCCACTTTAGATCGTCCTCCACTTCCTCCAGCCAGCTGATCTGAGGGCATTCTCTACTTCTTTTGCCATCTGGCTTCTCATAGAGCATCTTCTTTGGCATTCTTTCCACATGTTCTACCATCTCTATAGAGCCGGCTTCAGGGTGGGGATTGCCCCGGAGCACTTACTTGGATGGGCGCCCATTGGGGGCACCAGTCTATCTTTAGGAGCGCTTTTCATTTTTAAGAAATAAAAAGGTTACAAAACAAATAAAAATAATTAATTTATCCCAACAATAAATCAATTATTATAGAAATGTTGAATGCAATCTAATTCTAATATTATATAATATTCTACGGCTTAAGAAATAAATTTAATATTTTAAGGAGGAGAGGAGATGATGTCATTGCCCGGGAGTGCCAAATGTCTAAGGCCGGCACTGTATCTTAATTTGTGTTTTTTATCACATTATCGGGTTCCCTGAAGAGTTCAGGCAGCTCTTCTCAGTGACTCCGCCCCATATTCTTCTCAACACGTTTCTCTCTCAGTTTTGGTAAAGATCTATTACTCACACCCATACATAACCACTGGTCTTACTATGGTTTTGTAAATGATAATTTTAATTCTTTTAGGAAGTGATCTACATTTCAAATCTCTTTGTAATGAGAAATAGCATCTATTTCCTGCTGCTGTCCTGATCTTTATTTCAATCTCTACTTTGTTATTGTATGTAACCAGGCTTCCCAAGGTTTTGAACATGCTTACAGACCTCAAGTTGCGACCTCTAAAAGTTATTTCTCTATTCACTTCCTTTTCCCTTCATGAACTTTTCATGTATACGGTCTTATTTTCATTAAATCTAATGCCCAGTTTAATCGTAGTCTTTTAAGAAGAGAAAATAGAGGTTCACCCTGTCTCAAGCTATTATCCACCTCAAATTCTTTAGACAATGAATTTTCAAGCTTCATTCGACATGAAGTCTTCATCAGCGACATTTTTGTTAGTCTGACCAATTTCTTGGATTTGCCTACATTTACTATAGATTTCAAAAGTTCTTTCCTCTCTACACTGTCGTATGTCTTCTGTTTGAAGTCCACAAAGAGGAGGTCTGACCTATGTCTATGTTAAAATCATAACAGTATAGAGATGGTTGACCGTGATATAATATGAGAAGGAGTTGGTCGGGAATGCGGTCAAATAAATATTCAATTTAAAAAAAAAAAATTTTTAGAAATACTAAAATATATTAAAATACTATTTTTAATATATTAAAATTCTTCTTCCTGTACCACTATAACCCATGAAGGGTCTTGGGTTCAGTACTATTTAGGGAAAGCACTGTTTCTTCGTCTACGGTTGTGCTAGGAGGTGATTTGACCGAGATCATGCTCAACCACCAGGTTTTTCTCCGTAATCAATTATTTAAGGGTACCCACTTTATAGAGGCTGGGTGTGCCCCAGGAAGGTCTACCTATCCAGTGTCGCCCCACGGCCAATGAAACAGAATAAATAATTTTTCTACCATGAGCCGGGATTCAAACCTGGGACCTTTAGTATTGGGAGCTCAGTACCCTACCACCGAGCTATCCCACTCTTCCATTTAAAATACTAAAATAGATTTAAATACTATTTTCAAAATTTAGTATTTATTTGACCACACCCCCCTGACCAACTCCTCATCTTAAATTCATAACACTTTGCCATTATTTGCTTTAGGAAGAAGATCTAGTCAATTGTTGGTCTTCCGGGCCCAAAGCCTCCCTGATATTCTCCTATTATCTTTTCAGTGAAATTTATCTGTCTTTTAAGTTGGAGTACTGGCAATATCTTATAAGCTGTACTTTGCAGAGCAATGCCTTTATAATTTTTACATAGTAATTTGTACTCTTCCTTGTGTATGGGACATATTGATGCTTTTGTTCCGTCTTCAGGCATCTTGCCTTCCATCCATATCTCTCAAATAGGTCATAAATTTCCTCCCACAAATCACTGCCACCATATTTTAACATCTCTGGAGTGATCTCATCAAGGCCTGGTGACTTATTACTTTTCATCAACATAATTATGTCAGTTATTATATTATTATAAGTTTAACTTGGGATGACAAATTATTTTTCATAAACCTTTTGACTATTGTTTTATTATTAACCATTAGATATGACTTTTTGTGTTGAAGAACAGAAAATAAAATGTCGAATTTTAGTCACTGACATAAATGTTTTAAAATTAACATTTATATAAAATGTTACAGGTACTGGAAGGAAATAACTTTGAACAGCTCTAGTGACCAGTCTCAGTTCAGAGTTTGGGATTACCCTATCAAAGAACAATATGGACACATTCTTAATGCCATTGAAAAAGCTGGTCCAGTTGAAAATCTTCAAGAAGGGCTAAGAAAAGTAATGAACAAAAAATAATTTAAAAATAAACCAAGCTGTTTCAACTAATATTGTGCTCTTCATAATTTATTTATCTCTAAAAATAATCATATCCTATATCATAAATAAGAATAAAAACATCTCTATGAAATACCTATAAACGTCTATTAAGAAGAATAAAATAATATATAAACATCATGACAATCTTTTTGCCGTAATAGAGATAAAAAATAATAACCTAAGTAAAATTTGAACATCGATCAATTAACATAATGTTAGAAAGAAAATAAAAATTAATCATCTAAAATATTATTATAAGTATTAATGCTTGAAGAAACAAGATAAATAACTGATCAATAATCCTATATATTATTTCTAAAAGGTGTTTTTTTGTCGGTACGCCATAACTTCGTCAATTCTTCATCAAATCTAATGATTGCCCACTCATTTTGAAGATATTCTTCTTCACATGCAAAAAATAGTCTATCCCCCAAAATTTCTGGAAAAAAGTTATGAAGGAAAAGAAACTTTATTTGCGAATAACTCAAAAAGTATGCATTTTTTCTGTACCCCTAATTGTACCCATGATGATTAGAAAGATTACTAAATTACCTGAGGATGAGATGGTTGGACAGCGTGGCCTATGATGCGAGAACTCTGCTTGGTGTCGGAACTGGAGAGCTGCAGCAGAAGAAAGAGCCAACTGGCGGAAGCTCTTGGAGGAGGCCCGGTCTCAGTGACGGGATGTCGCGCCACATATGATGATGATACTAAATTACCTACAAAACGAAAAAAAATCATAAAAATTGGACAATTATTAACAAAGATACAGTCCATTATTTTTAATATACTTAATAATGTCTTTCTGTTTAAAGATATTGCATTTAAGAGTAGAATAGTCTACTACACTTTTTTTCCTGGCTGATATATTAACTTTATTATTTCTTAAAGACATTTGGTTGTTCTTACATTTTATTTTTTTTAATAATTTAGAAAATCCCATGATCGGTGCATTATTTTGTCTTTATTACTTTTATTATCTTTGAAGTCAGCATTTAAAAATAGGTCCTAGCAAAGAAATTTGTACAAATATTTTGGTCTATTATGTTTAATGGAATATTGTTCTCGATGAAGGAAAAAATGTTAATTCCTTCCTTACATAATACCTTCCTTAATAACAATATTTTCTACGAATTTTTCGCATGGACCAACTAGTAGATATTAATATAGATATAGGTTACTAATAAATATTTTATTTTTTAAATGTCCTACCAATGAGCTAATTTGAACAGAAGTCAAATACGGTAATGAAAAACAGAGATTTGAAAATTGGGTGGAAAATATTCTTATACATTGATTTGGCACAACAGCTAGTCATGACAGTGAATTATAGCTAGGTAGGAAGGACCCTCAGATAGAAATGTTCTATTTTCACTAAGATTACCATACTTTTTTTTTTTTAATTTTATATAATCTTTAAATTGTAACATACAAAAAAACAATTTCACAAAAATCAAATGGCTGATTTTAGGTAATAGAAAGTGAACAAGCTGAATTTGCATTGATACATGATCTGTTAGAACTGAAATATCATGTATTTAAGAACTGCAACCTCACGTTGATTGGGGAACCATTTGCTGAACAGCCATATGCTGTCGCTGTGCAACAAGGATCACATCTTAATGAAGAAATTAGCCGTAGGTACTTAACTTTATTCTCATTTTCTTTGGCCCGTTGGTTAACTATAAGATATTTCTCTCTCTGATGCTAATGAAAAATAAATATGGAAATTAACTATTAACTGTAGAAAGGCATTGAAAATCTGTCTGAAATAATAATCCTATTTATACTTATAGTAATTATGTGAATTTTTCCCAAACTTTTAAGATCCTGAAAAATAAACTATGTATATGTCAATATCATAACAATGATTTTTGTTTCTAAACATGTATCTAAACAAATTCTTGAATCATTTAAATCATTTAATAAATCAAAATGACAAAAAAATAATTGTTGAAAAATTTTGGTATGATACTATCACACAGGAGTTTTTAAAGTTTTTTTTTATTTTAATATTCTACTTTTATATGTCTATTCAATAAAAAAAAAGTTTCGATAGAAATCAATAATTTTTATATAGCATAATTTGTTACATGATTAATTTAGATATGAAATTAATGTAATTTCAACCATGTTCCAGAATTTTAGATCTACAAAGAGAAAGGTTTTTTGAAGCTACTGCTTCAAAATATTGGAATTCGACAATCAAATCAAAATGTGACAATGTTGACGAAGATGAAGGAATCACATTAGAAAGTTTGGGTAAGTTTATAAATAAATATAGTCAAAAAACATTCCTTATAATATTTACATGGGTCCCAGAGTGCCTGGTTTTGAATATTGTGGGGTCAATTCCCTCCTAGGTCAGAATATATATATTTCTTGGTGGTCCTGAGAAATGCATCTTGATAATCTCACTTTGTTACTTCTCGAATTTGCGGTGGCAATCTCAAGGTAGCTATTAGGGGTTTGTAAAAAAGACCACAAATCCCATTTGTCAGATTAGTTTTCCCCACCAGTACCATTTCTATGATAATGAAAATTTCGATACAATTTGAATTTAAGTATGTTCTAAATCGCTTATTAGTCTATGAATAGCTTAGCTGAATATAATAATTGTCTTATCAAGGCTAAAAACAATAATTAAAAGTTCTATAGACACACTGAGAATAAAATAAATAGTAATAAATAAAAATAATAAGAAAGAATAAATAATTAATAAGAAATTGCATTTATAAATTAACATAAAGCACATGAAATAAAAAATAGCATATTTGAAAAGTTCAGTCCATTTTTCCAATAAGACCTTTAAAATTAACCTAAAGTCATTGAGAAAGAATTATTAATATCACATCATACTGTGCTTTTTATTTTGGTTAATTACTAAACAAATATTGGTAGTAAATAAAAATAATGTTCACAGACCCATAAGTAATAATTTGTAAGTCTGTAAGTAATAGTTGGCATTGTGAATTTCCTTTTCAAGGTATAGATATATAATTCTTAATATATTTTCTAAGGCTTTAATAAATATTCAACTATATTTTGGTGACTTTATTGTTCTTATAAAAAAAATTGATTTTGAAAAAAACTGTCTATAAACCTAATTTATTTTTCGTTGTAGTGCATGAACATGAGAAACATCATCCTATATTAAATATGGTTTTATATTTATTAAAAGTGAACCTCAAAAGTTCTTCGGAAAATATAAATTTAACAGTCAAGAAAATATAAATCAATAATTTTATATATTCGTGTTCTTCAGGTGGTGTTTTCATCGCAACACTAGTTGGCCTTTTCATAGCACTGCTAACGCTTGGAGCAGAAGTTTGGTATCATAAAAAGAAGTCTAAAAACCAAGTAACTACCAAAGGCCAAATGCAACTTCAATCGATAATTAGAGATGAAATTTTCACAACAAAAGAATTCGGCCATCACAACTTCGCTAACAGAAAGGCATCTCTGTTGAATACTAAACCCAAAGTTAAACAAATAACAGTCTATCCAAGAGGACAGCTTTACTAATCATTTATTTTAAAAAGAAGCAGACATTTTAGATGTTATTTCAATAAATATCTTTTGATTAATTATTACCATTTCTTACCTTATTAATTACCCAATGACTTTCATTCATATAATTTTTTTTGTCTGGATGATTGATAATAACTCTCTCTATTGTTTATTTTTCATAATGATAATGTTAATAAATTGGAAATACCTTTGATTTCAATACTTTTTGCCGCCCAAAAACGATTTATTCTAAAGCAACTGTAATACCTTAAATCTTAGATGACATGATTCAATGAGATTACTTCAGATTCTCTATTGAGTCTTGTTTTCCTTGAATAAGTGAAGTCATCCATCAACCGACTATAATATTTCCATCGCATGGTAGAGATACAGATCCTACAAAATGAAAATAATTTATTTCTATTGTTTTATCAGTATTGTATTCAGTTACCTTTATATTTGAAGTTTTTACAACATAAAATCATTCAGAATTTTGATGCTTACTAATCTAATATTGTCTAAGGAAATGTAAACTTTATCATCTGCTTTATAACTTATAATTCCCAAGAAAACATTATTAATTTTTAATAAGAAATATTTTATTGAAATTTGACTTATAAGCAAGCTCATATCTAGTGAAGAGGCGGGGGAAGGGAGGGAGGGAATTTGACCCCCTTTCCCTCCCTGAAATGATTCTTTTTTTTTTTTTTATTTACTTTAGAGAACTAATAATCATGTATTAAATGTAAATAAATTTCTCTTTTAGAAAATAGGTTAACTAAACTTATTTTGAACAATAATCAAGCTGACTTCATCTCAAAACTATCGAGAGGAAAAATGATTAGGATTATGAAATTATTTGTCCCGACTCCTATACAGTAAAATACTACAGAACTGATATGAGTTCTCCTTAAAATATTTGTTTTCTATCTATATGACACGATTAGTTTATCAAATATTCTTAAGGATTTTTATAAAGTATGCATGTAAAGTATTTTTGGAGAAGGAGTTGGTTGGGGGGTGCGATCAAATAAATACTATTTCTAAAATTTAGTATTTATTTGACTGCCCTCCCCGACCAACTCCTCATATTATATCATGGTCAATTATCTCCACACCATTATAAAGTATTTTTACTTGATACATACTTTTTATAAAGTAAATACTTAAAACTATATACTGGAGTTATATAGTTTCAAGAATTTTTTTGGAACTGTTTGAATTCTGCAAAAAAGTTCCAGAAACCAATTAAACAAATTGGTAAATCTATTTTGCTAGTTTATTAAACTTTATTTAATCAATTTAAATAAAATGTTTGTCACACCTTAAATGAATAATTTACTATAATAATATATATAACAAAATACAGATATTGATCCTAAAACAACTCTATCCAATTTAAATTTGCTTTTTAGTGATTTTCTTACTTTAATCAAACGTGTTTTTATAGTCATTGTCCATTGCTTTAACTCATGGGAAGCTTATTCTATCCGTTTTATACGAACGCTGCTAAGACCATGTAGAGAAAATTTTTAAAATATGAAAAAGAAAAACTTAAGTACGTTTCTAGATATTTCATCTTCAACAGTTTTTTTTTATTTGGCGCTTTTTTCCTCTCTATTCATTTCCAAAGAGGTTATTGATGATTTTAAAGTTTGTCTCTTTCATTCTGGAGGTACGATATATATTTTGTTAACTATTTTTACTTTCACTTTTTTTACAAAAAGTCCATTCACATTATTATTAATAAAAATAAATATTACGATTCCAGACATTATTAATATGTATTATCTCTGTACTTGGTTACAATTATATTAACTGTCAGAAGAGTGGCGTTATCAAATTCTTTTTTTCAAATTTTATTGATTCCTAATAATTAGTTTTTGTAACACATTTAAGCCCACCTTACACGGTTATTATTATTGAATCAATAATATTGAAGCGATATTATTGAACGTGATATATTTCGATAAAATTGCAACAATATATCTCTTAGACGATCAATATATTCGATATTGATGGTATTTGGGCCCCTTTAATGAAATTGAAAAAGTTAGTGACAACGCGTATTTTATATTTAAATTCTACAAATATTTCAATATGAAGATTAATGTTACTCTTGATTTAACCTTCTAAAATCAAATTATTCGAAACAATGATTGAAATTTTAAGTATAATCGTACTTTAAATTGTAGACCCTCTAAATATATTTATTTCCTTATAACTAATATTTATGTGTTATACACATAATTAATAATATAAACATATATTAGTTATTCGTAACAATATTTTTGTAACATATTTTAAACAACTAATCAGGTATACCCATACCCCCAAATATCGATAACGCATGAGCACCCTCCTCTCCCCTAGATATTTCATTGCTTTGCTCTTAAAGATAGTGTAAAAGTATATTTTATAAAAATGTAGATCATATACAATTACACTTGCTGTGGTCTGTTCAATTTTTTCGTCTCCTATATAGAAACTTTTCATTCCAAAAATGTGCCCCCCTCAATAATTCGAAACCCAGTCAAAATGTAATCCCTTCCCCTCAAAAATTTCGATGTTTGCGCTCCCTTTTGGGCACCCCTGCAACCAATATCGTAATTTTTAATGATACCGTCTTACTGATCAACAATTTTTATTATAATTATTATAGCATAGCCTACATATATAGTTTATAAATTGTATGAAACACTAGAGGATCCAGGATTTAATTTTTTTTTGGGGGGGGGCTTCAGTCCGAAAGCTTTTTTTAAAAAATAAAAATAACGATAATTACTTTGGAAAAAAAGAAAGAAACTAACTACCTATATGAAATGGTGTTTAAGTGATTCCTAAAGTTCTTTTAAATGTAATGACACGAACAATAATACTTTAAGAGATAATTTTTTTCCATAAAACACTGTTATATATTACCATTTTGGGGAAGAGAGGGGTAGGGGCTTCAGCCCCAAAGTCCCTCCCCCCCACGTAGATCCGCCCGTGGTATGAAAAAATGTTCTGTACATCACTTTATTTCTTCAGTGAGGGGAGAGTTGGAGAAATTGAATTAGGACCAATGAAATTCCTGCTGCTTTGAATCACTCCAAACAATTCTTGCAGATTTTCACAAACGTAAAAATGAAACGATTCTTCGGTTTCATAATTTTTTTATTAAATTTTTTAAAATCAAAGAAAATTATTTTGTTCATATATAAACAAAGGTGGTGGAATTTGTAATAATTTTCATAAGTATATGGTAATTAAATATATTAGAACTATGTATTTAAAACTAATAAATTTAAATATTTTTTTTAATTGGCTTTAATCATAGTTAACAATAATTCCTCATTCAAATTTCAGTACTCAAAGGTTGGTACTAGAAAAAAATTGAATTAAATAATTACTAGAAATAGTATATAACTATATTTTATTAACTTTCTTAATGTAGAAATAATCTAAAATGTAACTCAATAAGTGATACTGTTGCAGAGCTTGATTTGGGATATTGGTAATTGATTGAATTAGGGATGATTGAATTGTGGCAGCAGTTGAGTTTTGGAGGCAATTTCCATTGGAAGCCACCATTTTTTTTTATTTTCTGTTAAGTTATGCACTGCTCTGTTCCTCTCTACAGTTTCAAGTATAATATTAATGATAGTTGTTTAATTTTACTAAATATACCTTTAATTAAAATCTAGTGGTAAGAAAGTGTTGTTTTATGGGACTATTTGGTAAATAATTATTTGATTTTGTATTAATGCAATCACTGATTTTTTTTTTCATTTGTATTTCTTTCTTTCATTAAGTGATAGAATTGTGATTTCAATATTCATATAATTATCTGTACACATTTAAATATATCATATTCTTATTTAAATATCTAGGTATAAAAAAACAAATTAGAAATAGAAATAGAAATTATCTTTATTCTGGGACAAAGTCCCTTTAGAATAACAAAATAGTACATCATTAAAAGACTACATCTGGCCTAAATATAACAATAATAAAAAAAGAGAAAGTAAAAAAAATATTAGTTAAACAAGCTATATACAAAATAAATAAATCTATACACTTAAAACTCACAATTCTTTTTCAGGCTATTTAGTTCTAAGCTTCATAATTTTCGTGATTTAGAATTGTGACTCTTTCAGAAATTAATTATAAAAATGAATATGACAATTGGTGCTTTGATTCTCAATGATTTTGGAAATATTTTTGTTTTCTTGATTTAATTTTTTATATTATATTTTAGTATTTTATTTACATAAACTACATTATACAATATATTTTTATATTTTGAAAAAAAAAACACTTGTTAACTTCTGATAAAGCTAATGAGTATAAATCAATTAAAAAATATTTAATTTTAATAAAATGCAACTCTAAAAGTTTATCTTTTACTGAATTGCCATATATATTTGTAAGAGACAAGTATACAAGTACTTAATAACTTTATTCCATTTATATAATCTTTTTTAGTTTGAGAATAACAATTTACATATTTCAAGCATGAAGACTGAAGACCTGAAAAGTATTGTATAAAATGTTTTAAATTTGAAAATTCAATGAAGACTATTTCTTAATTATGAAGTTGTTTTTATTTTTGGTTGATGTAGTTTTGAAATTCATTACGTATTAATTACCTACGCATTGAGTATTAATTCAGTCTATGTTTTCTGTTGATATACGGAGTTGAAACCTTATCCTGCTCCTCTTTCTCTCAACAAAGAACATCCATGAATTCTAGAAATCCTCACTCTCTGTTCCATTATTCATTCTCTAAACAACATATTTATTAATTTATTCCCGTCTAAAAAACCATTTCTTTCAGCAATTCTCATGTTATTCGTGCTAACCTTCTTCAGGAATTCTTTACCCTATCTCCATTCCTTCTCTACATATTCATTTAAACAAAGTTTATTCCTATACATATTTCATAATCACCACACTAGTGAAACAAATATTAATTTCTATAACAATTACTACTAGTATTTGGCAAGTGAACAATAAGCCAGAAAATCTACTAAAAATCAGAATATTGTTGTTATTCTTAAGGAATTTTGTCCAAGAATATTTTTTTTTTGTTTTATT